GAATTTGAAAAATTAGATTTAAATGGTATTGATAAACCTCGACAAACACGTTTTCTTCGTTCACAACAAGATCTTAAAGAAAAAATGGAAGAAACAGTTGTAACTTCATCGGTAGTTATTGAAGATAATAATGTTGAAAGTAAATTATTTTTCATATTTAACATTATAGTTTTTAATTAATTAAGTTGTTTTTTTTAGTTCAAGAAGATTTAGATCCATTTGAAATGATGGAAGCAGTAAATATTCTTGAACGATTATCAAAAAATTTCTTTGAAAAAATTGTATGTTTAATTTAATATTAAAATTATATCAATTTGAATTTATTTATTTCTTAGGAATCTAAACAATGGAAAGATCGAAAAGAAGTTCTAGATGATTTATTAACATTACTTACTCAAAATCCTAAACCAACATCAGATAATGATTATTCTGAACTTGTTAAAGTATTAAAAAAAGTAATGACTATATTGTATAATATAGTTTTTCAAATTAATTTTAATGATTTTACTTTATTTATAGATTGTTGCTAAAGATAGTAATATACCTGTTGTTCTTATTGCTGCAAAATGTTTAACAGCATTAGCTAAAGGTTTAAGAAAAACATTTAAAAATTATGCTATTAGTGTAAGTCTGTTGTTAAATGCTTTTTTTTTGTCGGTAAAACGCAGAGATTTAATGATTTTTATTTAGGTTATTGAAGTTTGTCTTGATCGATGTCGAGAAAAAAAAACTAATGTAATTGAAGTATTGCGTGAAGCATGTGAAGCTGCTTATCCTGCAGTAAGTATTTTTCTATTAATATAGTTCGTGTATATGTGCCAAAATTCTAATATTTTATAAAAAAAAGTATTTTTTATTCGATTTTTTTATTTTCAGTTAAACGTAACGTCGTTCGAAACGATCACGAATAATAAAGTTTAAAGATCTAAGGCATTCTTTTACGAATAGCTCTATATATTGTTAATTATGCTAAATAGGGGGTGAACATAATTTGTTGACAAGTGTTTTAGGAAATTTTACACCTTTTTTTCTTCGATTTTTATGCATAACTCTGGCATTCTTCTATATAGTTAGTGGGTTCTCTTCTATTAAAAAATTTAAAATGAGAAAAATTCAAGAGACTTGTTAAGTGTTTTAGAATAATCAATTCATTGTTTTTTCTTCAATAAGAAGGTGTTATCAAAAACTTATGACGCAGTTTATGTTACTATTCAATTCTATAAAAAAAAAGTATCTACCTACCTGATAAAAATGTATATTGAATACTATTTCTTCGTCTTCTTCATTTCATACATAACTGGTAAGATTGTGAAGGTTAACAATTCATCGGTGATGCTGAAAGTGCTACCAGATGAAGCCTATGATAACGAATTAAAAATAAATAACTGTTATGAAGAAATATAGATGTGAGCATTGATAATTTAATCAGAGTAGTTACTCGAGAAGGAGATGATAGGTACATCAAAGAAACTTCTATTAATAGAATCAACTGAATGAACGAGATAATTTTCAAACATCATGAATTTATATGAATCACAAATCTCTTAGTTGAATTCGTAGCTTCTAAAATAATGTCCTTGATCTCTAAACTTTATGTATTAAATAAGAAAAGATTTTTATTCTCTGAAAAATGCTAGAAGCTTCACAGACTCAGCGATTAGCTTTTTTTTTTGTATTAATAACCTATTGATAAACATTTCAAGGCCTTCATATATGATAAAATTGAGTATATATAGTCAAAGTTAATAGAAAAACATTGTAAACATACGTAATTAGTAACCAAGAACTGCAAAATTGTTGTCCAACAGTTGCTGAAGGGTATGAAATTGAAAAGTGTCGATAGGGTTTACTTGACCTCTAAACGAGATGATACTCTTCTCGATAATAATAATAGAAAATTTTTCTTGCGTTCTACTAGCAAGAAAATATTTTGCTCGTCCAAAATATATTATAAGATAGTCGATTATTGTTGCTTCAACATACGACTTAGTAAACAATCTGGATAGATTAATCGGTGTTTTTTCTTTTCTTTCCAAAATAGTAGAGACTTTTCTTGTTATTAATTATTATTTAGCTGCTTGATTGTTTCTGTTTGTCCTTCATTTCTACTATTATATGACCTAGAACAGATCTTAATATTGGATCACATTTTGATGCTCCGCACCGGGTCACACATTATTTATGCTTGCTTGAGCTAATCGATGTTAGAAACAAACTATTAAAAAAAAAAGATTTCTACACAATCACTGCATTCATTTGTTAAAACATTGTAAAAAATTTATTATCATCGTTAAATAAGGATCTACAATTTTAATGCTTGAAAAAACTCCATGGAGGATAAGTCAGATTACTCATTGAATTGAAAGAGTAGGGATATATTCGTAGGTACTCTAACTTTTTGAAAACTATTATTTAATTGACTAAATGAAACTTCAATAACATTAGCATTCTTGATTAATCTTAATTGTAAGATGCAAAATTCATGTAAGAAATTCTAATGAAAAATCAGAAAATAAAATTTTCTAAACTAGTTTTAAACTCATGCTAAATAAAATCAAGCCTTTGGTAAATTCTGTTGACTAGACAATTTCAGTATAGATCAAAGGTCATCCAGTTGGTCCAAATTCTACTACACATATTTGTAGTGATGATTGAAAACTTAAAAATAATCACATAAATTCTGAATTATGATTTATATTTACTCATTGCATATACATATCACGAATATGTCTTCATATAATTTGAGATTCAATTGCATATATCTATACTCTAAAGTGATAATGTAATTATATAAGATTCTTTTAGAAAAAATAAGTTATGTCTTATATTTAGACGAATCTCGAACAATTTTCTGAAGTAGCTGTTATATTACTCGCTCATAAAACACCAATTGTTCGACAATGTACACAACAATTTCTTACAAAATGTTTTTCTATGGCAACACAAACAACATTACCAAAGAAAATATTGAAAATATATTTACAACCATTAATTAAAGTATGTATATGTATATCAATGATCATTTTCTTTTTTTTTTTTTTTTTTATTTAAATTTAGAATACAGGAGAAGCTGATCCTACTGTACGTGATAGTGCATTTGAAAGTCTTGGTATGTTATGGAAATGTCTTGGTGAAAAACATATTCTTCCGAATTTAACTGAAATGGATGAACTTAAATTAAATAAAGTAAGAAATTTATTTACTTTTTTATTTAAGTCTGCTGGTTTTTTTTTTAGATAAAAGAATATGCAGAAAAATCAGTTCTACTTAATTTTCGAGGTGAACCACGTTCAACCGCTTCTGTTACAATAACCAATACAACTACTACTTCACCTGTTAGTCCAGTAATAATAAAAAAGAATAAACCAACAAGTACTGAAGTACCTATTAATAAATTAGATGAAGAATCAAAAAATTCAAAACCACCAATCGTAGTCAAAAAGAAACCAATAATAATAGTTAAATCTCCTCCTACAACGACTAATGAAACTTTAGAAGAAAAGAAAAAAGAATTACGACCACCAAAAGTAAATGATTATCTTTTTACAAAACAAAAAAAAACGATCCTATTTGTGTATTATAGAGTGCTGCACCTATTTCTAATCCTGTACCTCGTATATCTTCTGGTCGAAGTAAACCAACAGTTGCAAATACATCTTCATCAAATGTAAAACCAACTATATCAAAAGTTCGACCAGTTACTGCTCTACCATCAAAATCCACAACAATACCAACAACAACAATAACAAATAATACACAATCACGCACTCAACGTTTAATACCAATTGTTCAAAGTTCAACAACAAAAATTCGAACTAAACCACCTTTATCAACAAATCGACGTTCATCATTTGGATCAACACTATCATCTTCAACATCAAATTTACAACGACAATCAACATCAACTGGTGGTTCAACATCATCATTAAGTAGTACAAATACTCAAGCATCAATACCATGTACACGTTCGGAAACACCAACATCATCAACAACAATAACAATACTTCGATCAGTTTCAAATGATATTATTTCATCACCAAATACATCAAATATAAATACAAAAAGTCGTATACCTATACGAACAATACCAATAAATGTTGTTAAAAAATCATTGACATAAAAAAAAAAAACAATTAGTTATGTGATATTAAATTAGTTCTTTCGTATATGAAATTCTTTCTTATTTATTTTGTCGTATAATGCGATGATTGATTAAATAATTACTTCAGTTTTTTTTTTTCTTTTTTCTTTTGTATATCTCTTTTTGTCTTCCATTCTATTTATTACTCTAATAGATTTTTTTTGTCTTCTTGGATTCATATTCTCTTTCTCTCTCTCTTTTTGTAACTATCAACAAAGAAGAGAAATTATGCAATATATATTTATCAGATATTGATTTTGATGAATTCAACATAAAAAATATATATACATATATTTACTGAGAAACAGCCCATTGCTTGCTATATAATATTTTATAAGAGTTTTGAACAAAGTGATGAAATATAATAATATTATTTATTTCAAACTATAATGTATTCTACTGTATTTTGATGGAAACATTATCGAGATCTGCGGCTTTGATTATTAAGGCCTTAAAGAATTAGTGCTCTTGAAAAAAAAAACACGTTTTTCGAGGCTGTCCTATAGATTTTGCTTCTCTTTGGCTTTAAGAACAATATTTTTGAAAGAAAAAAAAAACACTCAGTCCGATTTGCTCATAAATGTTGTAAGAAATGATTGTAGCTTGTAAAAACAGAGTATGAAGTTTGCAGAGTGTGGGAAAGTCTTTGTTCTTTGCAATTCCCTCTTCTTCCTGAAAAAGGTGTCTGAGAATCTTGAGTCTATGACAGCTTTTGCTCCACTTATTGAGATCTATCTGCCTTGAAAGTTTCATCATTTTAAACCATAGTCTTTATTTCAGAATTATATTGAAATCAATATGAAAAAAAAATCAAGCACACAACAAAATTTTATTGCTGAATATTTTTTAACAACTATTTTTAACTAGTAGGACAGACTACTTGTCCTCTAGCTTTGTTTAATGGGCAAGAAACTGGTGCGCTACGAGTATTAGGGCAAATATAACCAGGTGGACAAGTGATACAATAAGCTAAACCAGCAACATCGGCGTAGGAGCCACTAGGACAAAGATCACATTCAACACGACCATGTTTATTATTTGCATAGCCTGGTGGACATAGAATAGGATTATCGGCAGGATTTGGACAATAACTACCTAAATTAAAATAAATAAAAATGGTATTGATTCTTTTTCCTAAATATTCTATGCTTACCAGGAGAACAAATTCTACAATAACTTTGACCCGTTAATGTTGTTTGATAACCAGTTGGACATGGCGTGCCCGTTGTTTGTCCTTCCAAACAATAAGATCCTGCGGAACATGGTTTTGGTGGTTCATCTGCTTTATCACAATAACTACCAATTGGACATATATCACATACTATAGCACCTGAATATGCACTATATTCGCCATCACTGCATGGTATACAAACTGTTTGACCATGTAATGCATTAGCTGTTCCAGGAGCACATGGTTTTGGCTCTTCATTTCCCGTCGAACAGTAATGGCCAATGGGGCAAGTCTTACACAATGCTGAACCATTTTGAGTTGTATAATGGCCTGCAGGACATGCAGTACATGATACTTGACCAGTAGTGCTGTAATGACCTGCAAAAGTAATATGAAATTATTTCAATTATAAAAGAAACTTTATAGATATTTATGATGCCCAATGTTCGTTTGTTACCAGGTTAAAGATGGAAGAAGAAGACTTTACCCGTTGACCTGGCAACAGATGAACATTCACTGCGTTATATTTTCATTTTTCATGAGAGCTAGTTTGTATATATATACCTGTGGGACATTTATCTGGTAATACAGCTGGATTGGAACAAAATGATCCTGCTGGACATACTGTACATTCTACTGAAGCCTGTGCAGGTGTATAGGTACCAGCATGGCATAGAGTACATTCTGTTTGTCCTAATTTTTCATTGAAATATCCTAATGGACATGGTTCAGGAGGGAAATCAGCAATTCCACAAAAATGTCCTTGTTCACATATGGTACAATAAGATGATCCAGCTTTTGTTGAATAATATCCTGCTTGACAAGGTGTACATGTAACTGCTCCAGAATTACTCCATGTTCCGGGTGGACATGGGATGGGTGTAATACTTCTATCTACACAATAATATCCTGCTGGACAGTCGGCTATATCAATTGTAGCTTCTTGCGCTAAAATGCAACCAATAATTGATAAAAGCAGCAATAAAAACATTGTTTATCAATATTCTAATGCAGATAAAGATATGGTGCTGCCCAAATGGCTCTTATATAAAGTCCCTCTTCTATTTATTTGTGCTATGTCTATTTGACATGAATCAAGATATCAGATAAGAATGTTTTCATTTTCTACGACGATTGAAAGGATTTTTTGTCACTTGTTTTTTCATGTTTTGTTTCCCAGCATCAGATATCATAAATCAATAGTAATAATGCAGCTAATCCGAGTATTTTTCTTTTTTCGGCGAATTTGTATTTCACATTAACTATTCGATGTGCTAAAGAACAAACTAGACTCATTTGTTTTAATAATCCAATATCTCGCATTGATTCGATCTTATCTTGATCTCTAAATATTTATTCTTGGACGATCGTCTTGAGCAATAGTGTAAAGTTAAATATACTAATCATAGCTAGGGTGTGGGTGTGGATGTGAGTGTGGATGTGGATGTGGGTGTGAATGTGTAGATTTCTTTCATTTGCACCCACACCCACCCTTTCGCCATTGGCAAATGTCTTATTGGCGAAAGTCTTATTGGCGAACATCCTGCCACCCATTTTAACTACTATCGATACAAACAACATGGCTATCATAAAGAAAGAAAAAATCTTGTCTCTAGAATATTTTGTAAAGTTTGCGGTAAAAATATGAGTATAAAGAAATTTAATAAGAAAAACTGTTCGCATGAAAAAATATAAAGCAGGGATTAAGATAACATAAAAAAAGCACTTAGGCTCATATAACATATTACCAGACAAAAAAATGCTCTTTTTCTCTTAACCATCTTGATAGATTAAATCTCCAAACAGATTAGTGCATATGGATCGTAAACAAAAAAACCTTTTGGCGTTTGAAAGTCATAGTAAATATCTTTTTAGAACATTAAATAGTCACTTAACGTTTCTATAGGATGATTAATACATCCTTGAATTTTTCGGCTTAAAAACAGTCTTTCGAACAGTTATTTTTCGAAAATGTACCTTCTCTCTTTCTTCGTATATAGTTCTGTAACAATATGTGTAATATTTGGTTTTGTTAATGATGCCGATTGATATTTGTTGAAGACTTGAGATAGCACCAAGTGGATAAAAGTCTTTACTTCTAGATGAGTTTTATCAAATGCAGTAATCAGATTAAAACATTTTTTTATTATGTAAAAGTTCAGCATAAACTCTAATCATTATAATTTAATATAAGACCAGTCTGACTTGTTTCGATTTCAGAAATTCAATAATTCAAATAATGTACAATTTTGATAGCTAACTGCGAGTTAGAAACTTTCACTCTCGTTTTATTGCCGATGTAAACGATTGATAAGTTGCAGGCTTACTCCTTCTTAACTTCATCTAACGAAGTTATTGCCAAACATTTTCGATGGACGCAAGATCGGATGATATTGATGAGCAAAACATTTTTTCAACACCATTATTCATTCTTCAATTAATGCCGGATTTTTTAAAAAGTACTGACAACCATTTTTTTAATAACTTTTCAACGGTACAAGCTATAGAGGTCGGGTTTTCACCGTTAGAAAAGCAAGGTGGGGGACGTCGATCTGTATAAAATTCATTAGGCTCAAAGATCTTTTGTATAGTTGTTTGCAGTCAGATATCTTATTTGTTGTCTATTTTCATGAGTTTTCGTGGCAAGTTCATTTCATATTAGACCAAAATGTAGCCCAAATCGTTCTGTATGTGTGCTAAAATTTTCAAATTTTAACATCAAAGCGTAAGAAAAAAAACTCAAGAGTAAAATGCAAAAATTTGAAAATTTTAGCACACATGCAGGACGATTTGGGCTACATTTTGGTCTAATATGATGTGAACTTGCCACGAAAACTCATGAAAATAGACAACAAATAAGATATCTGACTACAAACAACTATACAAAAGATCTTTGAACCTAATGAATTTTATACAGATCGACGTCCCCCACCTTGCTTTTTCTAACGGTGAAAATTTGACCTCCATAGCTTGTACCATTGAGAAGTTATTTAAAAAATGATCATTAGTACTTTTAAAAAAATCCTGCATTAGTTGGTAGTTTCAACGTATGTTTAGAGTCATTGTCTTTCTATGCATTCTACGAGGCCAAATGCTGCCCAAATTGAAAGTAAATGGACAATTATGTAAGATAAACAAAATACAAAAATTAAGATTAAAAATTTATTTATTAAATGCGCTGATACATTATATTGTCATTCACATACACTATAATAGGTTATAATAAATCTAACATAGATGTATGAGTGGTTTATGTTGGTATCTACGAAATGGATATCGAAATACCATTTATGTCAAAAGATTTAGCTGCTTTTAATTTTTATATCATGCCCAAATTGTTTTCAAGCTGTTAACAAGAGACTGCATTTGTAACTGGCACATACATTAATATTGAATCTAGGTTCTCTCTAAAATTGAAGACATGATAGTGTGATGTGATTGTGGCTGAGATTGCGACAAGAAGACTCACACCTATTTCTACCTCACAGCCACTCCACACACTCTGATTGAGACTTTTCATACGTTTTGCTTTGAACTATATTTTTTGTTTATTTTGCCAATAATATTCAGATACTTAGTTAGCATCCAATGCGTATATTCATTAATGGTATGCTTAGGAAATAAAGAGATGTACAAGTACTATAGAAAGTATTCATTTCACACAATGCAGATGCCGTTTAATCTTCATGCACTTGTCAATGAACAAATAGGTGAAAGTGAGGACTTGATTTTTTTACTTACATTTACGAGCATCTCACCGGCAATGGTTGAGGTGTAAGCATATTCAAATAGCTACCGAAATCAAAATGGATCTTTTGATACTCTAAATCTATGATATCTTATGTAAGTCTGGTATATTATGTAACCATCACTATGTTTTAATCCTGTTTCTATTAAATATATTTATTTACATTTGAACGGTTGGATGTTTATTTAATAATAAATGATTGACAGCTCTCAATCAACTGTCCAAACGTACCATATGACTGCTTTGAATCTTTCTCTTGTGTAAACTCATTATCGTTCCATATAAATCTCAATTTATTCTCAAGCATGACTGTATCCGTTGTATTTCTCTACAGTGGTAAACCGATTGGGAAATACCTTGTCTGATATAAAGATAATGTGTCTTGGCAGTAATCAAAAGATGCATGGTTCGAATCCCATAAAAGAGATTGTCTTTTCTTACTGTTCAGTTGATATTCTATCATACTGCATAGTGTTGATCATGAGCCATCGCATTCTTCTCCTACCTATTCTATTAGAGTTTTCTCTCAAACTTCATGATCACAGTCATTGATGAAGAAGAAATCCATACGAAGATCGTCGCAGACAATGAAGGCTTCTCTGCGCTTCAAGATTACAGCAAATTGAAGTACCCTATATATGACACAATATAAACATGCAAATATTTAATTGTCAAGAAGAAAATGGAGGCTAATGTATTTAAATAGTAGAAAATCAATCAAGTGTCAAAAAAGCGTTCGTTTGAATCTCAAATCAAGAAAGTGTTTTTTCGTAAATCATTAGCATCAAGGTTTATTGATCTGTGATTACTGCTTGTGATTATGGTTTACCGAGCTCTGTTTGTTATGAAAATATCAGGGAACGACTAGATCTCAAGACTCACCCATTTTGAACTTCAAAATTACATGTTACTAATCTGAACTAAGGCCTCCCATTCTGGTCAAAAATGGATTTCACGTCAGGTATATTCGAAGCGCCTAAAATTTCGAGGACATGTTGGAACTGAAGTACAGAAACTATTGTAAAGTTGTCAACTGCTTACCATGACGTTTGACAGAAATATTTATCCTACCACAATCAAAAACGGCTCATTCTATATATTTAATGCATTTGTTTGTTTGAAAGAGTATATCAGGATATCAGTCATCATAGAGTCTTTTTTCTTAAATTCTTAGCTTTTATGTAAGAGAAAAAGAATGACAAGTTGAAGGTCTAACAAAACTTTTCAAAATTAGGTGTATATTTATATGAGAGTTTGCACAAATTATAAAAACAAATCTTAATTTAAAAAGAGACTCTATAGTACCCTCCATCTTGATATGCTCTTTCAAAAAAAATGAAACATTGCATGTATAGAATGAGAGACCACAGAAAATTTTGGGTTGTGATATCAAAAAAGTATAAACATAAAAAAAACGAAAAACTTTTCTTTCTTTTTGCTAAAAACAGCATGTTTTAGAAGCAAATAACAACACAAATGATCAAAAGTTTGAAAAAAAAAGAGGCATCACATGAAAAATCACATCATTTATGACAGATTAAGTCTCAGACTATCTTCCCACGTGGGTGGGGTGTGAGTGTAGGCTAAGACAAGATGAACTCATACCCACATTCACATCTCTTCTTGTTAATTTTATGCAAAACAAGATCATGCGATGGCAAACAGAATGTTTTCGCTGGTTTACTGGAACAATAATCTGGAACGAAAATTTTTTCGTTCTCGCCGACAGGGTGAGTGTAAGTGTTCTTTTAGCGCACTCATGCCCAAACCCGTATTCCGTCATCACATCCACATCCACATTCAAGGCTTCTCAGGAATAGAAATTCTTCCATTTCAAATACTATCAATCATTTTGTTTTCAGTGATAGATACAGTTTTCTTCACTTTTAAGTTCGAACTCTCCCATGTGTGGATGATCAACGCTGGGTCGTGCTGTTATGTCGCATTACTCTTTAGTTTTCAGCAATTATTATATGGTGATTATTTCATTCGAATGTACTTCAAATAGTTTATAGTTTATATCGAATAGTGTTACAAATTCATAGATTTTATTAACCTTTTCAAGTTTATAATTACAATAGAAACTGTTATTAAATGACTTATATTTTTGATGATTATTCTTTCAAATTTATTTCTGGAACATTTTGAATAAGTCATCAAGGCCTTTTTTTGTTAAATTCAATTATAAAATAGTCAAGTAGTATTTATTACTGACGCATTGATATATGCTGTTTCTATTAGTA